TTTTTTTTTTTTTTTTTTTTGAGATAGGGTCTTGCTGTGTCGTTAGGGGAGTTCTGCCTCAGCCTCCCAAGAGTTGGGACTATAGGTATGCACCATTCTGATTTTCTTAGGTGTTCTCTGCTGTGGTATGTCTTTCCTTTTTTGTCTGAACTCCATGTTTCCCCCTCTTATTTTGATGAAACACATTCTCCTATGGCTTTCTGGGGAAATGTGCATGAGTGGTAACATTTTTGCTATTTTATGTATTCGAAAATGTCTTATTTCTATCCCATACTTAATTCACAGCTTGTGTATGGGTAAAATTCTAGGTTGGATATCATGTCCCCTTAGCATTTTGAGGTTATTGCTCCATTTTCTTTGAGCTTTCATTCTTGTTACTGAAAAGTTATTTTTATTTCTTTGCGTATTAGTTATCCACAGTCACATAACAAGTTGCTGCAAAGCTTAGTGGCTAAAGAACAAATATTTCTCATAGATTCTGTGGGCCAGGAATCAGGTACAATTTAATTAGGTGTTTCTGACTCAAGGTCTCTTATGTGACTGCAGTTGGAAGGCTGCAGTCATCTCAAGGCTTGACTGAGGGAGGATCTATTCCAGATTCACTTATTTTGGCTTTGGGTCTTCTCTAGCTGTTGGCTGGAGATGGCAGTTCACCTGAATCTCTCTGCGGGGCTATTCAGCACAGGACAGCTTGCTTTTCTCAGGCAGTGGCTCTGAAAACTCAGACTGTTTGTGACCCCCCAAAAAAACGTAAGACTAAGTGCCTGATTGGTATTTATAAAGTGAATCAGCCAAAAGTAAAAAACTTCCATGCCCTGTGCCTTGTAGCTCTAGTTTTAGAGTCAAAAGTGACCCATCTTATTACTTTCAGTGGCCTATGGCAGTGTTGATAAACCTTTTTAAAAAAAAAAAAGTTGGGAGGGGCATCTCACTATGTAGTTCAGGCTGACCTCGAACTCACAAAAGTCCTGCCTCAGCATCTCAAGGGCTGGGATTACAGATGTGCACTGCCACACCCAGCATGGCGAAGCATTTAGAGCTTTCAGCAATGCAAACAGCCCGCTGTGGCACTCGTGCCATAGGTTTGCCTCCTCTAGTCTATGGGATCAGCTGGTGTGCTGGCTACCAGTTAGAACTCACTGTTTGATGCAGTGTGCTGCTGTCAGTACCCATCTCTCACTGAGGAGGGAGCCTCCACAGATATGCTTGTGGCCCAAGCGTAGGCTGACCTGCCAAGGCCAGCGCCCCACAACAGCATCTTGGCCACCCACAATGCGGCCTGAGTATGCAGGTCTTCCACACACTAGAGAAAGAAGGAAAGGGTGGCTGGAAATCCGGGAGTCCTGCTCCTCAGGTCCTCATCTGTGCATCATCCCTGAAGTCCTGTCCCTTCCTCGGAGCCCTCCCTGGACTCCAGCCTCCATTCCATTCAAGTTTGAGACCCAGCAGTACTGAAACCAGGTGGAGTCCACTCACCAGACTGCAGATTTTTCTTTCTGGTAAAGGAGCCTGGGTGAGACCCTACGGAAGACAGGCAGGACCATTAACATAGTAACACATTGCAGATCTAGATTCTTCTCAGGTTAGAATTAAAAGCCAAAATCGGTAATTGTGTACCTGTCACTAGTAGTCTACACAGTTCCATACTTCCTTGCCTTTTAAGGCTGCTATAATCTAACTTCACTTTATTCAAGGTCATCATCAGGAATATTCGGTATTTTAGGACATAAATACAGTGAGGTGCACAGATGCTTTTGAGATTTGTAAGAAGTTTATTTTGTGCTTTCTAATGGCATTTTATAATACTTTTTTCCCTACCTGTTACCTCTTGGTTTTTCTCAGCATAGTCATCTTTTGAATCAGCACAGGCCAGAAAAATAAACGAACACACTTCTGCCATAGGCACTTGCAGTTCCCTCTGCTGGAAATGTGGTTTTCCTAGATCCTCTTAGTAACATTTATTTCGATCAAGTCCTGTCTTGTCTTCTCCGTCTCATCTCATCTATCTATAGTATTAAGATTTGAACCCAGGGCCTTGCACATGCTAGGTGAGTACTGTATCATTGAATTATGTCCCCCACATCCTTTAAGTCTTTCTTCAAACAATTCTTTAGTGATGCTGTCTTTGACTACCTTACTTAAAATTACAACCTGTCTTTTGCCCCTGAACTTGTTTTGTTTGTTTGGCTTTTGAGGCAGGATCTCACTTTGTAGCTGATGCTGGTCTTGCACTCTGGGCTTTCCTTCTGCCTCGGCCTCCAGAGTGCTGGGGTTACAGGCATGCGCCACCACAACCTGCTTATTCTTGAACTTTAGATGTCATTTTCCTTGTATAGTACTTATTACCTTCCAGCATGCCTAATAGTTTACCTAATTAAGGTGAACATTGATTATAGGTCCCATGAAGACAGGAATCAGTCCTAGCTTTGTTTATTGCTGTATCCATCCAAGAGCTTTAGAGCAGTACTGGTGGGCATATGTGAACTCTCAGGACTTTCCCCAGGTCATGTTATTAGTAACTAACTTCCCGTGGGTAAAATATTATCCCATAGAATTATACAATGGCTTCTCGGGTCACAAACCTCTGCCAGCCCTAAGGACTTACCCAGCAGGAGCAGCAGCAGGGTGGCTTGGCCAGCTGGGCTCATGTCTTTGTCCTCAGGAGCAGCACTTTCTGCTTCCGTGACCAAGGCTCCCAGTGTGTGTGAGGGGAGCCAGTTAGGGGAGTAGCCAGAGAAGGGGGCAGGATCAGCTTCTTCTAGGTGGAATCCCCTAGTATTTTGGTCTTCCTGTCCTGCTGACCAGACTTCAGAAGAGCAGCTGCAAGACCCTGAGGAGCTGGGCCTGAGGCCCCTGCTGTATAGGGAAACAGGGTGTCTGTCTGGGGTTTCTTCCCGCAGGAGGGTGGAGGAGGATAGGAGGGGTGGGTGGAGTAGCTGTGGAGAGGGTTGGAAGGAAGAGGACCCTGGCAAAGAGATGGGAGGTGGACAGGATTGTCCAAAAGCAAGAATTTGGAAAGAGGAAATTAACTCAGTACCTGGATCATTTTTCTCCTTGCTTTTGCTGTTGTGTTTGTTAGTGGTGGGCATAGAATGTCAGATCTCCTGAGAAGTAGACTGAGACTGACGCAGGCAGGGCATTTATTGGGTGTGGCTCTCAGGAGGGAGAGCAGGATTGGGTAGGGTCAATTGTGATGCGTTGGTTCAGAGGGCTCAGCCCATCAAGTTGCCCTGGAGGTGAAGTAGTCCTTTGGAGATGCCCTGAACTGAAATGACAAGGATGCGCCCGCATACTTGTGCATCATTGGATGAGGTCACAGCCATGGAGGGACATTACTTTGTGTGAGGTAGTAGTGCCACCAATTCTTAGGATGGGAATTAGCCGTGACCAGTCAGCAGCTAGCACTCTGGTGGCCAGGGGGATGAATGCTTCCATTTTGAAGGGGGTTCGGTTTGACGCATCCACCACAGAGTTCTTCCCTGTGCCCATTAACGTTTTCTGTACCAGTTGTGGGAGGAGGAGCAGATCTGTGGAGGCAAAATTCAGTGAAGTGGACCTCCCAAGGCAGGAGGCTTTCCGTGCATTGAAGGCCAACCTGAATTACATGTGAGACCCTGTCTCCAAAAACAAAACAAACAAAAATCTAGCTGTTTTGGTAAGAATAATTCAGTTACAGGTAACAGGGACTCACTATCTTAAATCAAGAGGGGGTTATTTTAAAGATGATATTTTAGGCTGAATTATGTCTTTCCAGAAGTTCATGGGGAGACATAAATTGAGGACCTAACCCCTGCTTATGCAGAACATGACCATATTTGGAGATAATGGTTCTTAAAGAGGTAATTATTTTAAAATGAAGACAACAGGGTGGGACACTTGGACACAGTTTATGTACACAGGGAGAAGACAGCTATCTACAAGTCCAAGAGGCTGGAATAAACCCATCTTTCATGGTTCTGAGGAGGAACCAGCCCCACTGGCACCTTGAATTTGGACTGATAGTTTAGACAACTGTGAGAAAATGTTTCTTTTGGGTAAGCCGCCGCTCTGTGCTATTTGTTACAGTATCCATGGCAAAGTAACACAGATAGCCACGGAACAGTAAGAAGAGAATAACAGGGATGTAGAGAGAAATCTAGGTCAGACCTAGAGACTAGACTTCAAAGGGACCTCTTTTCATGATAGGTTGGGAGCTTTTAGCAGCTTGTGGCTCATTTTGGGTTTCTGTCATTCACTATGATATTATTACGTATTGGGACTGTCTTAGTGATTTTCACCTTATGATTTTTCCCTAAAACCAATATCACTACCTGCAGTTTTCTTCTAATTTCATTAAAAATTTTTAATATAATTTTTATTAGTATTTATTAATTTTAGACAATACTAGGTTTCAATATATATATATATATATTTTTTTTTATCATATCCATCCTCCCTGCTTGCCTCAGCCTGAGTAGCTGAAGGATTCACGGAGGAAAAACCAGCGGTGAGAGATTAAGACAGACAGAGGAAGAGATATAATAAGGATAGGTGGGGCTCTAACTCTTGAGGGGAGGAAAAGACCACCAAGCAAATGGCTGCACGTTTATTTATAGTGGAAGAGGTAAAGTAAGTGCAGGGAGAGGTAAGGGGCTGGTCTGTAGGGCCTCATGTTTGATGTTTCTCTGGGAAGGAGGGCAGTCCTCTTCTCCACCATGCCCTCTTGTCATCTGTTCTCCTCGTGCCGGGCCCTGCCTCGTCTGTCCGAGGGAGAAAGCGAACTACATGCATGCTCCTTGTTCCGGGAAGGGAGGCTGCAAGTTAGGCCTGGCCGTCGTAATCTGCAGTGCATCGCTTGCAGCCCGTTAGCCTCTTGTGCACCTCCCTCCCTCTTGTCTGATAAAAGTCTCCCTTCTACTTTTATGGCATCTTTTTTAGATTGTACACATTAGGGAAAACACGATGTTTGCCTTTCTGAATCTGGTTTATTTCTGTCAGTATAATCTCCAGTTCCATGCATTTTCCTGCAAATGCTAAAACTGTTCTTCTTTGGACTGGATAGTGTTCTGTCCATGTGTATATGGTATGCCACATTTTCTTAATCTGGTCAATTGTGATAGGTGCCTACATTTGTTCTGTATTTTACTCATGTAAGTATAGTTTTTAAAGAAAGTCGGACCTTGCTGGACGTGGTGACCCATGTTGTAATCCCAGCACTCAGAGAAGGTGAGGCAGGAGGATCAGAAGTTTGCACCCATACTCAGTGATTTGATGAGACCTTATCTCCAGATGAAAAAGAAAAATCTGGGAATATAGCTAGTGTGAAGGCCCTGGGTTCAATTCTTAGTACTAAAGAACAAAAACAAATAAACAAAAAGAAGAAACACCACCACAAACAAAAAAATCTAAATGTGAGATTTGCCTCCAAGTCGTGTTTAGAATAAAAGTGGCTTATTATTCATTTTGTGGAGATCACAAAGCTCTATATGGCTTGATCAGTTAGTTGTCCGGCCGGCCTCCCTTCCTCCCTCCCTTTCTCCTTTTCTCTTTTACAGCACTGGGAATTGAGCCCAGGGATAGATCTTTATTTTGACTTATCACAGGGACAAAATTTGACCAGGTATTCTAGTGTTTTGTGATTGTCCCAAGTCTTTGGACTTTTATATCATTGGACAGATCCGAAGTAGTACCTTCCTTTGTTATAGTTGGATTTCCCACACAGTGCCTTTCTTTTTTGTTTAAATGTTTTCTAAAAATATATTCTGTTTGCAAGCACAAGGTCCTGAGTTCAATCCTTGGTACCCCCCAAAAATGTGTGTGTGTGTGTGTGTGTGTGTGTGTGTGTATTCTTGTTTTGATGTCTGTTAAATTTTGTTGGAAACAAACTCTTTTGAGCTGGTAACTTGAGTACCAGCTCCTTATTCTGAAAACTGCAAGGTATAAGGAAAGAATAATTAGTTATTCTGCTCTTCCTGCACAAACAGTAATTCACAGTAGCAAAATAGGCTTAACTGGTGAGGAAAGATTTCCAGCTAAGAAATGTACTTGGACCAGTAGAATCAGAAAGTCACCACCTTCAGCCCTGTATGACATAATTGATAATCAGAAGGTGAAAGCCTTCGATGAAAGATTGATGGAGCACTTCAACTGTTGGTATTTGAATCCTCTGATTAGACTTAGCATCACTAGAAGTGGGACACAGTAGACACATACCACTTAATGTCACATAGTATAGCACCTATAGCACTGCCTGTGAAGTATTTTTTTAAGTGAAACATGAATCTCTAAAGCTATTTTTACTCACAGAAAAATACAGAGGATAAAAGATTAAGTTAAATTACAGTACAAGGAAGTAAGTAGTCAAATCAAGAATGTGGGACATTTTATAAAGCAACTGACCTAGTTTCTGTAGTAATCCAATCCTATGAAAGTAAAAAGGGAAAGAGGCCATTGTGGCTTGTGTCTAGTTGTCCACCCAAAGCCTCATCTAGTCATGGAGGGGCCTCTAGAGTGTGTGGTGCTGGGATCAAGGGTGTGAGATTACTAGATCAGTCCACTGATTGTTTTGGCGTAATTCTGGCTAGGATTAAGGGTGTGAGTGCTACACCCACTGTAGGGTGGTTAACATGCATAAAACATAAAGGACAGAGCGAGGGCTAGTGCTCTCTTGCCTACCTGCTAGCTATGGAGTGTTTCTCCTCAGCATTGCCCCTCTGCTGTGTGCAGCCCCACCTTGGAGCCAGCTCTGAATTTGAAACCTCTACAAACTGTGAGCCAAATAAACTTTTCCTGCTTTAATTTTGAGTGTTGGCTATTTTGGCTCAGCAATGAGAAAAGTACCTAAAACAGACTATTCTAGGTTACAAGAAATTTAAGAGACATAAGTATGTGTGGCCTTTGTTTGCATCTTAATTTTAATAGAAGAACTCTAAAAAAGACCTTTTGATAAAGGATAAAGAAATTTGATAATGGACTGGCTAGTAGATGGGATGAGTTTACTCTTCAGAGATTTGACCATCATTGAATTATGCAAGGAAATTTTTAAAGAGAGGATTAGAACCCCATACATCCTAAATCTAAGCTAAAATCTTATCACTTTGGAGATGGCTGCCCTGGTTTTCAGCCCCAGTGATATTCTGTTATTTTCATAGGCATGACAGCCTGACTTTAAGGAAGTCACCTTTTGCCTAAGGCCTCTATTTTCCTGTTGTACCAGGAAAGCATTGGAATCAATTGATGCTCTAAAAGATTTTTGTTTTGGTTTTGGTACTGGGTATTGAGCCCAAGGCCTTTGCAGTAAGCTACATCCCCAGCCCTTTTTCATTTTGGGGGCATCTTGCCATGCTAAGCTTGCACTTGTGATCTTCCTTCCTTAGTCCTGCAGAGTACTAGGCATTATAGGCATATACCACTACACCTGGTTTCAAAGATTGTTTTTAAAGGTAACATTGAACTGTGCATTGCTTATCACCATACTCCGTCTCTTGCCCCATTACCCTTCTAGAAATATTTTTCTTAATTTGGTTCAACAATTAAATTTGTTGACTCTGCCATTTTACTGCTCCCTTGGCTCTTCCAAAATATGGAAGTGCCAAGGAGACACCTGAAGACAGCTTAGAGCTTTCTGCCTCCCTCATTACGCTGTCTCCAAGTCTTAGTTTCTGTCTCTAGATCATGTTATCCTTAAAGATAGTTGATTAATATTTTTTTTAGATAGGATGTCCTGTGTACCCCAGGCTGGCCTCAAACTCTCCACCCTTCTTTTTTAGCCCCCTGAGTGCTGAGATTACAGGTGTGTACTGCCCTCATCTGGCTAGAGTTATCTTTAAATACCTCTGTAGGGCAGGGGATTTAGCTCAGTGGCACCCTGCCTGCCTGGCAAGTACAAATTTGATCCCTGCTCCCTGGCAATGTAGCATTGGTGTTAAGAGCTTTATTAGTTGTCATGAGGTCATAGATAAGTTACTACCCGCTCCATCTTTACAAAATGGCTATAATAATATCCCACAAAATTTTTATAAGAATTATACTTAGCTTGGTTTTGACCTATTGGAGGGCATGCAATAATAATTGCTATTTTTAATATTATTATTACTGAAACTGATATTACAACTTTAGTAATTAAATTCTGGGTAAACAGAATATTTGATAATGGTTAGAATTAATATTGATGGTCCCTATAGACCAGGCTTTCTTAGCTGTGGTGCTGTTGACATTTTGGGCCAGATGGTTCTTTGTTGTGGGGTGGCTGTCCTGTCCTTATAGAATAGTGAGCAGTATCCTTGGCCTCTGTCTACTGGACGGATGGTGCCATCTACTTTTAGTTGTGACTTGTCTCCAGACATTGCCGGGTGTCCCCTGCAGG